CTCAATTCGGTGAAAACTACTACTATCTAGTAGCATTGTCTACTTATGAATTTTGAAGAAAATAAATATAGGAGCCAAAACTTATACATACTGGAATTTCATAAATGATATTAATTATGGTGGATTCAAAAGAGACATTAATTTTCTTTAATTGGTTCCAGTTGAATAAAACTATTTCTAAGATTGAGTGCTCGTCATAAGAGACGTAAAAGTCCCCGATTCAACGCTCGATGTAATCATGGACATGCAACTAGAACGAGACAATTATCCAGTGCTTCCTGGTTTACAATGGTTATCTAACTAAAATTGATACAGAATGTTAAATGTAAAATTCAACAGTCTCCACAAACTTCCTATGTAACTACTTTTATTGATATATATTGCTTGTAAAGCCGGTAGTTAAACGTTACACATTACAATGAGGTAAAATTCACATTCCTAATTATTATAATAGAGACATTTATTGCTCAAGTATTTTACTATCCCTTATGAGGAGAGAGTTACGAATACATTCAATCACGAATAATTTCAAGTACAGAATATAGCTTACTTTTTATTAATTAGTCTCAATCGATTATGTTATATAAGTGTAAGTGGGGAGATTTTAATGCATCAATGTATTACAAGAAGATTGAGGAAAATAATAATAATGAAATGTTAAAAATGAATAGAATTATATTAAATTTAATCATTTGTGATATAATTAAGCAGATGTGTAGAGAAGGGTATATATGAATACAAATTGTATAGTGATACGAGCCATCAAATAGTATGTAATACAAACTTCAGTAATATACAGAAATAAATCTTGACATGTACGCACAATTTTTGTTAACGCAGAAATTCTTCTTTGTAAAAGTATCATATATTACTTTATTAATATTTGTATTAGTATGTGGACTGAACCTTAGGGATTATGAGTAACATAGCAACGTCGAAAACAATAGGCTATGTTTGAATGAAGATTGAGTTTCGTCTTTCTAATTGTCTGTTTGTGTATGAGTGTATTTTGTGTTCGGATTTAGTGTGCATGTACTTCTGTGCCGAGAAACAATGACAAATAAGAAATTACTACTGTGTCGTATAATTTAAATAGTAAAAAGATTCGTCACGATTATGGATAAAATCATTCACCGGATTACTTGAGTATGAGCCACAATCTAAATGCAGGTGTCAATGTGATACTACCTGGTTGTCCGAACCGCAATAGGAGTGGGATACGAATCTGGGACTTAGTGGCAGAAAGTCATAATAACAATTTGTAACCCTACAAATGCATACACATTTTTACGGTGAAATATTTTAGCGTATTATGTTCAAGCAATCGATTTTCACTCATTGAATTCAGACCCATGTTGAGCTATAATCCTTCAATAATTTGGACAGCAAAGCGATGGGGTAAGTCACAAAAAACAGGATATATATCTTAAATTAGAATATTCCATTGGTTTTACAAAATAGTTATCGGCACAACTATCAACACTGAAAACGTCAACTTCCGTCCCCTAATGAAAACATTGTGGATCGATAACCTACAAAATTAGCAGCATATCTTGGTAATTCATATACAACATCATGACTGACACTAATTCAGGACGAGGAAACCACTGCTGACTGACTAGTAAATGAAAAACTGTTCGAATAAATAACAATAACAGCAAACACAATATACGTTTCTCATATGCATTTTTTATTAAGGAATAATTAACACAATCGAAATTTCACGTTTCAGATGGACAGTACTGATTTTATTTAGCTGAGTAGCCTTTCCTTTACAAAAACAACTCGACATTCAGTAAGATAAATTATCACTTAACCGTCATTTCGACCATTTCCCTAGATAATCAACTCAATAGTTGGGAGATGACTCCAACATTCATTGTTTTTTCGTAACAAAATGGTGGTCAAAGCAATTAAACCACAATACATTTACCATAAGTGGTTGTATTCATGAAGTGCTATTTATTTTACCCAAAACTGACGATGATGATGAATTAAAAATGAGTCATTCTGACCCTTAGGCACAATGAGAAACACATAAAGGTCAGAAGCGATGAACCACGTTTTTGAGTTGAGGTTATATCTTTGATATTTTTTCCAGTGTGAATGTGCGTGTGTGTGCACTTATGTGTCTGAGTATAGTGTGCATGTATTTCTGTGCTACCAAATAAAAATGATAAATAAATAATGATAGGGGTAGGAGAGCACAAGGGCACTAGTGTTTCTGTACTTGAAAACCTAATTTCAACTCACAAATTATAGTAGTTCTTTGTTCTCTCATAAGTTTATGAAAAAAGATGGTGGTGATAGAGGAAACACAACATATTAACCATTGGGAGAAATGTAGAGCAATCAAAATGAGTAGAATGGAATAATGATTGTGTGACTTGCAGTTAAACGTAAAATTAAATGACCTTACAACCCTCAAAATGTCTGCACCGTATATATATCTATGTATATATATATATATGGAGAGAAAGAGAGATAGGGACACTACAACGTGCCCAGACAGTCGGACAAAGAGAATCAAATTGAAAGCGAAAAAGAAAATAAATGAGTCGAACCATATGTCAGTCTGGAAGGTGTTTTGTTTATGTGCTCCTTCAACTAATAAATCAAAATATTTTTATGCTCTGAATTCGGATTCTTTAAGTTGGCTGTATAAATCCATTGAATTACTGTGTGATTAACAAATATACATTAGTGGAAAATACAAGCAGATTAATCAAACATACTCAGGACCATGTCCGTACATTTCGAATTGATGGTAACTCGGTATATTTAAATGACGTACTCTTCTGCGCAATATGAGTGTGAAACATGGCCAGGTTGTCTTTAGAAAAGCACTAATTGTGAAACACATTAGCACAGGATGAGATTCAATAATGAATATGTAATAATTTCTAACTTGATATGACTAAAACCACGTTACACATTGTTTGTTATATATACAGGTCTTCTTAACAATCTTCCTTAACTAATCTTCTACATCGGTACAGGTCGATGGGGTGACGAAAGATATTTCAGTTGCATTAATACAGTTTATTAGTTCAACTGAACTTATATAACTAACGTCGAAGTTGTAAAAATCATTACACGATTGAAATGAAGCAAACAGGAAAAATGCAAATAAACATATAATAGTGATTCAAGTTACTTGTTGAACACTTCATCATGACCACTTCTTTATTAGATATTACTGATCTGAGATACGCTTCCTAGCTCATACAACAAATGGGAAGCATTGTGATTCTATTCACTGTCAAATAGAGACTAAAATACTCACTACAAATTATTAGTCTATTGCTGTATTTTAGCCAAAGACTAAACTAGCATACATTGACTTACAGGTTCAAACCATAATCCAGGTACTCGGGTTTGAGTGGCCATATAGTATCACTATCCCTCATATAAAGCAGTGTCATAGATATGAACAGACTATTGTGTATTTGCTCAACATATAAATAATCGAAGTTCTTTTGACCTCAGTTTCAAACTTTCACGTTCAGTTGTCTCCTAGGTCCTTATTACTAATGGTAACAACAATATCAATGACATGAATTTATAGCAGCCCTACTAACTGATAGCAGGTTCAGATAAACATGAGTTGATCGAACCTATCATAAAAATTTTAGTCCTCTATAATGTAACTAATTTTTTATCCATCAGCTGTTTATATTCAAATATTGGACCTTCCGATTCGTACATTTAAACTAATATACCATTTATTGATATCGATTGTCTGATAAGTGTGGCGTCTAATATTACATGTCACATTTCGAACACTGGTCCATCAATGATTTTTAAATGACAACGTTCCTAATGGAAAAAGCTGTTGGATTTATCAGAGGAGAATCGGAAAACACGTCAGAAATGAGAATTTTACGATTATTAAATAGTTTATTTCACAAAAAAATGTTTTGCAATTTAGAACTAGCTGACTTCAAGTCTTTGTGTATTCGAATTATGGTTAACACTAGAATGTAGGACATATATCTCATTCTATTTGAAATTCGTCGTCTGGATAGCCAGTCACGTATTAGACAAGAATGATATTTATTGATAAATATTTGAATGACCCCATAAATCCCATAAAATAGAAAGGAAACAAAATAAAAATCACAAAATTACCAGTTATTTTAATTACATTAGTGCAGTCGTAGGTCAATAGTTAAGGGGTTCAATTTTCAACGGCCAAGTCTCAAGCTCGAAACCTGCCACCCCACCTACACGGGTTTGAGCAAACTAATTAGTATCATTAGCCTACATAAACACAGAGAGTATGGTTTAAAGCCAAGTATACGAATATTTACCTGGTACACTGAGTTCTAATTACAGGTAGAAGGAAGAAAACCTCAAGTGAAATAACATTGTTGAACAGTATACACAATTATGTCATCATCATTATGACAGATTTTTTAAAAACTAACTTATGTGGTAAGCACGAAAAATATCTCAGTTCATTCCATAAATTTGATTTACGATTTTAAAACTATTATACTTATTTATAGACTTTTTTTAAAGAAAATCGAATTGAGAAGAGTAGTGGTAGATACATATGTACATTCATCTCTAACTTCATGGGATAATTTTACTTAAATCATACGCCAAAAGATATTAGACACTAAACAAAACCTTTTTTTGTGTTTTGTCAATTGTAAATTGAATAGTTATTTATAACTAGAATTTTATTTCTAAGTATATCCAGTAGACCAGGTTTCCATTTTCTTTTAGGCAGAAAAGAAACATTGAGCACATAGTTGTTTTACCTTAATGATCATTTTTTCCCTACCCATTCATCTATTATACCTACCTATTGATTAATTTATACTGTGTGGAATGAAATGTTAACAACATTTATCATCACTATATTATACTATATTTGCTATCTTCGTCTCACTATTTTGGGGATAACATCAACAACACATGACTTCACGACAGAAAAGAGCTAACAAGAAAGCAATAGCTATTTTCCTTAATGTATGTATGTTTTTTTTGTTGGAAATATGTAAATTGTACACATGTGTGCGTACATGCACACAATAATAGCCAGGTGCCTACAGTAATTGAGATTATCACTGAAATGAGTAGAAGAGAATTATTAGATGTGTTATAGTCGTCGAACGATAGTAGATATGTCACACATACATAGCGTATCTGTATTTATATATATCAATGTTGTAGACTATTCAACTATTTTGAGACTGGTGCTTCAGCACGTTTTTTGTCATCCTACGCAATTATCGCCTACAAATAATGTAGACATGTAATGATAACAACTAAATAATATTAGGCATGAGTTTTCCTATTTTTCACTAACTGATTAGGTTGACTAAAACCTCAACTATGATAGGAAAAAACTTCCTCATGATAGATGTGTCGTGAAAAACACACACACATTTTTGTATGCATGTATGTATGTTTTTGTTTAAACGAAGTTATGTTTACAGTTAAACAAATCAAGAAAGCACATTTTCATAAATAATCACCATTTCTCAACGTAAGTTCAACATTATAGTGTATTTTTGTATATATTTGTCAGTGTGTGTACACTTATCATTTGTTAATGACCTCAAATTTTGAGCAACATTATATATATATATATATCCCATCAATATGTGTAGGCTGAGTAGATGATGTTGTATAAACAGCTTTATCGATTATTCTTCTCATTGACTCTGGGATTTTTTTGGACTAACAACAAATTTTCCCGTAGATTGAAATGAGAACGGAAACTATTATTGAATTTGTATAGCAGTATAGAAAATTCAGAAGAGTGGAATTAAGAGTACCGTTGACCAATCAGAAATGAATTGAGCAAATACTTATATTTGCCCCCTTTGTATACTACTTTTGAGCATTGACTATGATGAAATCAGACAATATCGATTGATCATGTGAGAAGGAAATAAAACCACGATTTCAACTAACAGAAAAGTCTAATGTTTTAGTACTAGGTATTAAATGTGCATGTCAAGTTTTATTTATGTGTGCTCTTGTATTTATGTGCAAATGAGTGCTTTAACTTCTGTACAAGTGTTACAGATGTGTACCAAGATTAGAGTGAACTCAAAAGAAAAACATTTTCTAACACACAAAATGATTTAGCTAGGAAAAAGGTATAAACAAGGAGTTAATGTAGGTTCCAAAAAAATTTCTTACACATAAAACAGGATTGTAAAATAGTAAAGAGCTTTATGATGGTACAGGAGTTAATTATAGTCAATAGCTGGCGAAACCTACACAGATAATAAATAAATGATGTATATGAAACATCAAGATTTGTTCAGCTACCAATCAAAGAACAAAACAAAAATTAACACAAATAATTTGTTAATAAAGAAGAGATAATTTAAAGATGAAAGTAATTTTAAAAAAGGAATCTATTTACTGAGGTAAACCTCATCTTGATTTGTTTTCTTAACAAGTCGTCCGGACCCTAATTGGTTAATATGTACTTACCAATACTGGTTAGATCGACAGCCGACTTCGCAGATTGATGCTACGTCTCAATTTGACTGGTTCCGGCCTTATCTCAACCTAATCCTGTCCCAGACAAGGCTGATGGTTTATTTATGAAGAACCTGTCTCTTCCTTACTTCAGTTACGAAGGAACTCTCAAGATAAATGTTAACCGAAAATGTTCAGTGTATGTCTCAACGATCACGATTGAAATATTTTCACAACTTTATCAATTCATCACAATGTATTAGGAAAGATCTGTAATCGACCAGCTTTGGAACCACTTAAATGTTACATAGATCAGCTATGTTTTAAAAGTTACCGACGACCAACTGGTCATCAAGGTTACGCTGTAAGTTCTACGTATAATGGTGAAGTATTTATCACCCCTTTCACTAAGATCGTCACAGGTTTATAAATATGAACAAGAGACGGTTAATAAACGAGATTATGTTTGTATATTTATCAAGTGTATTCATTCCTTTAACCATAACGACAAAAGCACTATCTTACCACATACCTCCATTTCTAATATGCTATACAATTGTACATTAAAAATGAAGATAAAAGTAAATATTTAAACATAAATACATGTGTCGTTTTTCCTTCAGGTATTCGATCCCAACTACGTTTCTCCTAAATTGGTTCGGATAACTCAGCAGTATTTCTTATTTTAATATTATAAATGTAGCTCATTGTCAAGTACAAATACATGAACGTACTTACTGAAGATAAATTAATAAGAAAAAATATACCCAAAAGATCATTTCCGGTTATGTGAGTCGATTCACCTAATTTATTATTGATTCAAATAATGAGCTAATAGAAAAAGTAAACTGAGGCTCATACGATAGTAAAAATAAAGATAAAATAAGCAATTTTAATTATTCTCCTCTCCTCATCTTCGCTTATATCAAGTGTACACTGAATATAATTAATGCAATATAAAAATATAGCACAATAAGCTTGATCTATTGATTCTATTCCATTAGAACTAAATACAATGTTTAAATATATGTTCAACCAATAGAAATAAATCATCGGACAATTGTTAACGATTCTCAAACACTTCGCCCTCACGAGAAAATTAAAACCTTTTATAATACGACTAAGTAATATCGACCTAAATTCACCATAATTAACAACGGCACATTGTAATGTGCTTGGGTATAATATAGGACTCATAGGATTTACACAGGACGAGTGAAAACATGTAAATTTATTTGTGTATGTGTAAATTTGTAGGTTATTTATTTTTTGGAAGAGTTGAGTTTATTAACAATTATGCCCACCATATTGATCAAAGCTTAGTTGAAACCCACACAAAGAATGAATGAGTCAGAATAGTGACAATATTGATTTTTTTTTTTACAAGTCCCCATATAAAATAAGTGGAAAATCTGTCACGTTGTGTACGTGAAATAAATGTGACTAGTCACAAAACTAAGTTGGTCGAGAAAGGTGAGAATTAGATTTTGGTTAAAACGGTAGGAGGATCTTCCACCACCCTCTCTTCATATATAAACGATAAAACATCAAAAATCAAGTTAGATGAGATCAACTGTGCAGTCAATTTATCAAATAGTATTGATTTTTAAGTATTGATTTATCCCGTACAACCTAACACAAGGTGTTCAACTTGATAAACGGAGGAGCTAAGACAAAGCAAGATGAGTAGTGTTAATTATTTATAGTTAACCAATACCAAAGTTTAAGTCTGAGATAAGTCATATCATTATGATTTCGATACTGAGTTAATAATAATAATAATAGTAATAATAATAACAATACACTGACTCTTGAAATCCTGAAACCAAAGTTACGAAATAAGACAAGAAGTCTACATAACAGTAGTTCTCATACCTAGTTGAGATAAGGATTTATATAAATATAAAAGGTCTATGTCATTAAATCTGTAGAAAAAATGCTGTGCATAATTACAAACACCTCTATTGAGTGTTTTTACAATGCACACAAATAATGATTGTAAATTAGAAAACATAAATTATTTCTTGTGATATCATACAGCAACAAACGGGCATAAAGTAACACATAAATAATTCCAGAATAATTGTAAAATCTAATAATAATAGCGAATAACATGTGAAGATTACATCCTAACGAATTAGCTTTATAAATTTAGTTAACAAAATGATCTGAATGAACTAATTGCTCTGTTTTATAAAAGCAACCAGACAATATGAATGTTGTCATAAGATAATGAAAGTGTTTCATCAATTAGTTTTGTCATGGAATCTAAACAATGTACGGATTTATTCACTTTCACAGTGAAGTGAAGTTGATAAGTTATGGTTAAAGAATAATAGACAGAATTAAACAACTCAAATTTACTGAGAATGAATCCTAAGAAAGAATACTTTTAAATTATACGAAGAAACAATATATCTGTATATTTCCTGAAATGTCAAAATCCAAAGTATATTCAGTGTGCAATATGGTGAAAAAGATAGATAACCAAATTAGTAACATAATACCAATAAAATCAGAAAGTTTTTATCTGGTTAACTTTGATGACAAGTTATGCTTGTCCCTGATCACTTGCAGTAAGCCAGATTACAGTATATTAAAAGTGAAACACAAAGCGCTTTTATATTTATTACAGAAATTTGAAACCTTAATTTACATTTAAACAGACATTTTTGATGGTCATGAAAATCACCCTGTTCGTTTATAAATGTCATATAAAAAGGCGTACTACTTATACTTACTAAGTAGCTAACTTTATAATATGAAATAAATGCATGATGGATTCTAGTAAATAATTCATACAATTAATCAAAACTTACGTGTTAGACCGGTATATGAAAACATGCCAACTTGATTAATGATATGTTCCCAATTCCCAGGTGTTCCCAAACTTCTCAAGCGCTCATAAAGTCCCTGTCTCATTTCACGAATACGTTGGGCCATTGTAATCACACATGTTTTCCTACATAGGAAAAACAATATGAAATAAGAGAAGGCGACACAATCACTATCCGATTAGAAAGATCAGATTGTTTTATCAATACTTTGTGATGAATATAAATGAATTTCTTTACACTTCAAAAGTCTCCTGGTGTATATTTAGCTAAATAGGAAGAGAATCGGTCATAGACTGAAATATGAGAGGACAATAAAAGTTTAAACATTGCAATTTATTTTTAACAAGATTATGAAAATGAAGACAGTCAGCTGAAAAACTGCATAAAAGTGACTACGGTCGAGTTAACGGAGGTTGTGTACTGTTACGATCTGATCAGATTTATTGTTTGAATTCTTAAAGAAATACCCCCATTACATACGTCAGTGACTAACTGAAAATTAATGGATCAGCGTAAAATATCAGCTAAGTGGACAACGGGTTGGCGTTTGCAGAAAAGGTTACTGGGTTCAAGTTCCGGAGTTGACGTCACCTCGGACGCTGAGGAGCCCCAAATAGGACGAAACATGAACCTTGGATCCCACTGTTAGCCACTATCCAACTGTTTAAAATGCTTATGAAATAACTGCAATATCCGGACAATCCACACAGTATGAATATATGCCAAAAAGAGACTGATCAATCGCAGCCTTAAACATCAATGGGAAGATCCAAATAGCCAATACAAAATGAGTGTATGTGGATTTATTTTAAAATAAGATGGTGCTTTTAAATCACGGTGTATTGATAACAATTATTTAGGTCAAATTTCAGATTTTTAATACTTTTGTCAACATGCTCATAGGTATGGACAACTAAATTTACTTTTCTTTTCTGGAAGAATGTACAGTGATAACCATAGTATGAATTTTCATATGATGTACATATAACATCGCCCTGCTTCATACAAGTGCTTTTCGGAGCCTGATTCTCCCTGTATGTCTTGTAGTTCAAGCAAAACATTTTTGGTTTAGCAAGTTCTAGTTCACCTCTCAATGTAGAAGAAAAAATAAGCCGTATGTTGTGTTGGAGCAAATATCTAAGGATAACTATTTAGACTAGTTTAAGGCCTATTATTGTGTAATTATTAAATAAGCGGACTACTATGTTTCCATATTCCGTTTACTGTAAGCTTCCCTCTGACCCACTGACTATTACTATACTTGCTATTCTTAAATTATTGTTAATCAATCATTTAAAATTCTTCCCAGTCCATGCATCAGTATGATTTTCTATTTTATAGCGTGATTTAGTTCTGTTTATGAGGTATATTAGGTAATCAGTACTTGAGGTAGTTTCTGGGTTGGTTAGTTGGTTAGAATATATCAATAGAGGCTTGGTCAATATTGTTGATTCAGGCACAAGGTTGAGGATAAAAGGCATGTACATCAGACGACAGAAAGGAATGAGAATTATATTAGCTCAAGGTTAAATGTGCTGTCGGAACTTCTGGTTGGTTAAGGCTAAGGGAGCTAGGCTATAAGCAGAATGGCAGACACCGTGTAGAGAAATTATAATCGATTTTTTTTTTACGAACTTGGCAAATAATAACTGTTTAGACATAACACGATGGTAGTACTGAAAATTCTGGTACAAACAGATTGTTTAACTATTGTCAGTGCACCTGATTTAAACACAATGGGAAATCGAGAAATCACGTAAAGAATGCCCTTCTACCAGGATCGTAGATCAAACTTGAACAAAGTTGATTCTCATTTATTCCAGTTCAAGATAGAAATATAATTGTGATTGACTCCAAGTAATATAAAACATTAAATGGCCAATTTATTTAATATTAAGAAATCTGATCTTGATAATTAAAAATTATGAAAACTAATTTTCATAGCAACGTCTAAAAACAATGCAAAAACTACACTTGATATTGTTTTGTTTGTATCTTCCCATTGAGGTTTAAGACTGAGATTGATCAGTCTGTTATTGGCATATGCGCATACCGTGCGTATGCTTCAATATTGCCTTAATTCACAAGCTTTTATAAGCAGAGATGGATAATGGTTAGCAGTGGAATCCAGGACGCGCGTTTCGTCCTATTTGGGACCAAGTGAATTCAAAGTCACCCCACTGCACAAACAAGCGGCTATCAGGACTCAGTAGCCAAGTGGATAACGCAATGGAGTTTGAAGCGAATGGTACTGGGTTTGAGTCCCAGAATGAACATCAACTCTGAGATGCAGATACGTCCAAACTGACAAGTCCCAAATAAGACGAAACCCGCGTCCTGGACTCCACTGCTAGTCACTATCCATCCAGTGCTTCCAGGTTTTCGATGGTGCTCAATATCAATCGGTTCATAATCTCAATTAAAAACTTAACAATCTCCACAACCCCTAAACTGATATAGATTTGTTTAATCTTATAATAAACTTTTCAAAATAGTACATATAATTTTAATAGCACTGTATGGCTGTTTCGAAACGGCCATGTTTTCCATGATGATGATCTAGTTTAAAATTGACTCATGATATCAACTATTATAATATCCACAAAATTCATTTTGATAATACATATAAATGAGGAAATGTATTAAAAACATAACGAATAGGAAAATTAACATGATCAAATAAAAACAAAATAATGACAATTTGTACTTTTATAACTGATTAATATAAAGAATAAACATTGTAGGAATAACTTAGACTATTGACATTAAACATAAACGAGAATAGAAGTGATTATACAAAAAATAAAGTTTATTTATAATAAGGTCAAAATAGATTGTTATTATTTAGTTATTTTCTATGTTGTGTAAATTTTTCTCATCAAGTAAATGTATCATTAGACAGACTAATGTTTTGTCCTAATACATTAGATTTTTATTTTATTTTTACAATTGAGATTAATTTATTAAAGGTTATTAGAAATTTAATCAAATAACAAATCTTATCTTTTCACAGACAGGATTAATCTGTGTAATTTTGTATGGATTACCTAGTTTGTATTATTAAAGTAAAAGTAGTATACTAGACCAATTTCTCAGTCAGGAAGCCTACTATTCTTCATCCATAATGATTATTTTAATCAAAGCCCCCCCCCTGGTACGGCCGAGAGTGGGGAAAGTCACCACTCCCTCTCGAAATGCTCTCACATGGCCACGTGCATACAACCACTGTCAGGGAATTCCTACTCACTGCCTTCTCGAGGCGAGGGTGTTGTTTACGAAATTGAGAGGATGAAAAGCGAATGTCCGGCGCTTTAATCGGGGTGGTGGACACGGAGTGTCCAACTAGGAGAGTTGGAAAACCCTGATTCCAAACCAATGGTGCACATGGGCTGGTTCCAGGATCCTGAAGGAACAAATGGCGTATGAACCAATTTCTAGTCACCGGCTACCATGGGACTGCATCTCCTTACGTTGCACCACTGCCTTGTGGATCAGACCTTCAAGTCGAAGGCTCCGGGTGTGGCCTCTTAAGAAAACCACCCGGTTCGGTTTGGGCACTCTGGCAGTATCACAGCCCTCACACATATCGAATGAGATCTGTGTGGTGCATATGTATTTGGTGCCTCCTTGTACCAATATCTGTGTGTTAAAATAAATAAAATAATTTTAACCAAAATTATATGTTGAAATTAGCGGCGAAACAGAATAAGTGATACATCATTTAAATAAATATTTCGTAATTAATAGTTAAAAACTATAGTAGATTTTATATGAAATATGCATGTACATCACTCATCTGATAACGAAGCATTCACGCTATTTTTCTAATAACCCTATTGTATGATCGATAATTTAATATATTGTGCAGATTGCTTCACTAAGGCATTATAGTTTACATTACGAACCAACTTTAGCTAGACAACCATTGAGAACTGGAAAGGGACACTGGACAGGATAAATACACAACCGCGAGAGTGGTAGAACCCAAAGATTTCAGAGTTAATAGAAAGGATGTCACAGTTAGATTACTAAGATGACATGAAATAGTTTATATTTCTAACTCAATTCATGACTGCTGTCACATGCTTGAATCTGAAACCCCTTACACTAACACTAAAAACAGTATTAGGTGCATACCTTCAGTAAAGAATAGAAAAGCATGAAATAACACAGGACTCCGGTACCATTTATATTTCCAGATTACCTTTTTTTATTTTAATTTTAATAGATTTTTGTTATCCCTTTTATCATTAGGTCACATGTAGTCTTACCTTATTTGTATCAGAAGGGGTTTTGTGGAGATTATAGTAATTTCAACAGTTGAGATCATGAAACAATTGAAGCTAGACCACCATGGAAAACCTGGAAGCAATGGATGGTCGTCCCATCCTATTGCGGGACTCCTCAATAACACGCACCCAAGACCCCAACCCCGCGGGATCCGAAACCAAGACCTACCGGTCTTGAGCGCGAGCACTTAACTACTAGACCGCCGAGCCGGTATCCAAACATATTCCAAAAACACTCACATTACTGATTGTATTATTGTTATTAATGGTATTAGTATCTAACAATAATATGCGCTCCCTTTTAAAAAGCATTTTATCATTGGGGATGACCTTTACTCACTGACCAATAAAATTCTACGAAAATCTCTCCAGTTGTCTTTAACCTTTAGTCCCTCATATGACCTTGAATTCCGAGTCAGTCATATGACTCATTATTGATCTGTTTTATCTCAATCATTATTAACTATACTCCATGATTCCTATTCACGATATATATACACAAGAAAATTTTCTTTGATGAGATATTTGTTTGTTATTGTAAAACTAAGAGAGAAATAATTCATTTACAAGTTTACATTAAAAACCAATATTTGGTTATTTTGAAGTAATTGTTAAAAATCAACTTGGCTGAAAATTACTTATCGACCAGATCAATGACACATAAACCCGTCCGAGTATTCTAGAGTCCTTATCAGTCCTTTTTCCTGTCTAGCCCTGTCTGTTAAGTCCAGAACTCAAATTTTGGCCTCCTCAATATGAATCATATATTCCAAACATACTGGGTTTATGTACAAGCAAACCAGAACCAGACCACATCACAACATAAAAAGATTTTAGCATACATATTCGTTAACAAGTAATTGGGCCCTTTCTCTATCCAGCTATTAATAACTCAACCTTATATATACACCCACACAATCATTCATTCATTTGACTACACATTGTGAACTTCTCACATGATTCGCATATAATTAACTCATGTTATCCTACTTACTAAAGTCATCAACATCTGAATATGATTGGATAAGCACAATAAAGATTTGATTTGATTGTTAAACATTGTATATTTCTTTGATGATTACTCTGATGATGTCCAAACAAGTTTGCTGAACGGAACGTTGGAATTATTCAAATTTCAATCACTGAGATTATTTCAAATATAATTTTCACATATAATGACTTCTTTGCACTCAGCACCCTATTTTTGTCAAACTATTCATTTTAATACTGACGAATATTCGTATAAAGGAGTTCAATTTATTTTTGTCCATAAAAATCCGATGATAAATCCGAAAAGACCTAGATCTACCTTCCAATGTTCAATAGTATTATTATCATTATTATTGTTGTTAGAGAACTAATTGTCATTGGTATTTATTTATTTGAACACATAAATATTGGTACAAAGAGGCACCAAATACATATGGTTTACGCTATTAAATAAAGTTCATTAGACAACTACGAAGCACTCGACATGTGTTTCGTTCTAGTATGGGGCTCATTAGCAGTGTGCATACATGAATCCGATAAGAATCGAACACAGAATATTCGGGTTTCGCGGCGAGTGCTTAACTTCTAGATCACAGCATCTAATGATTTATATTGCCGACTCCAATAAATGAGTGATACTGCGAAACCATCATCCGACAACCAACACCCAACATGGTTGGACTCCAAAGGTTACTGGATCTCCCTCTTGAAATTAATTGCTAGTAAGCACCTCGGATATTAATTTAACTGTTTAAAGAGTAAGCGCACACCGCAAGACTTGAAGGTCTTGAGTTCGATGATGAAGAGTCGCACAGTACGACGAAAAACCTCCCCAGTGCTTCCTGATTTTCAATGGGCATTTAACTTAAGTCAGTCCGAGATGTTAACCATAAAATTAACTATTATTTATGAAAAATGAAAAAATGTTTACATACGCTTACCATTCATTGAATAACGAAATATTATTTAATATGGTAGCAACAATTCGTGCACCATGTTGTGGTGGATTGGACCATGTTTGACGAATTAATAATTTCACTTGTGATTTCACATGTGATGTAGTTACTGGATCTTGTGTGATAAATATTAGATTGCCTACACGTTCATCTGTAATAAATATTTTTTATGGTTAAAATACAAAATGGATATTAGTAATTGCTTAAGAATATATCATTTTTTATCCATCCAAATCTAACACATTTGGTACTTTTGTATAAATGAATGGCAAGAAAAAAAAGCTCATTTTCCGTGTATGTGCACGTGTGTGTTAAATACACAGCCTACACTGGTAAGCCATTTCAATATTGATACAGGCATGAAAAATTTACTCAAAGTAGACTTAATCAAGAACGCAAAGAAAACATTCAAAACGATAAGTACGAAAAATCCTGGGTCACTACTTTCAGTACTTATTTTCCATTACAAATTAATTTATTTAAAAGTTAAAAAAGGAAAACAAACAACCATCAGTCAACATATAAAACTAAAAAACAAACAGGAAAGTAAGCAGTGGTATTAGGGGTATGAATCACTTGAAATTAGCGGCTATTTTTACTAAAACTAACCAGTGTTAAATTAAATAAATGAAAGTATACGAAGATTTGTCTAGGTAAGAGAATAATTTAATTATGGAGATGGGTAGTGATGAATGAGCAAATAATATTTATGATAATAATAACATGTAATTTATATAAAGTGGTAATTCAGTATTCATCCACCTAAGTGATTTTCAATTATTTTGCATTGGCCCGTATGGAGAACTAATGAAAATTAGATTGCTGAAGCCTTTTGATGGATAAATTCATTCTTAACCAATTAGTATTATTTACACATCCATACAATGTTTGATCCCGAGAAGTGACACAAGTAACCCATTAATAAGAATGGTAATATAACAAAGCCCTCAATCAATTTTAATTGGCATTTTTCAAACCATGAAGAACGATGTCGTTTTCTAAATGTCTATAGTTCAGCAACCTCACGTATATCCTGGTGTATTGGAGACTATGAGGACTTACAATGATACCCGATATCCCAGTGAAAACAATCGGTTAAACATTAGGTGATAAAATAATGAAGTTACAGGACACTCTAAGATAAATAGTAGTTGTCATCATCAAGTTAGATGCATAATAAAGATAAGATTGTATATTCTATAATTATTAAGTGGATATTGGTGAACTTGTAGATAAGTCTCCTAATAAACGAGACAATTTTGATCTACATATAGAGAAAATATAATTAAGAGAATTGAACAATATTTTATTAGCAAAAACGGTGAATACATGTATGTTTTGTGACTTTTGTATAACATAAAAATATTTAATAGAATTATATTTCAATAGTTGAGATCATGAATCAATTGAAACTAGACTACCATGGGGAAACCTAGAAGCACTAGAAGATCGTTTCGTCCTATTGTGGGACTACTCAGCAGTGCGACTTCACATCTACTCTTTATATCTGTTTCGTGAATCATTAGACGAAAAACTCATATCAAAACATGGGTGATTTCACAAAAGTGGATGATTACAACATAAACTGAGCTAGTGGATATGGATGGTATAGGTATTCAAAAAACCTTGATTTCAAACCGACGGTGGAAATGGACTTTATGATTCCAAAGGAGAAAAAGGTATATGAACTTAATTTATTTGTTGATCTGTCTATTAAAACACTTCTCCACTTTCACGTTGGTTAGTCCCTAGGAAATTGTACCTAGAGAAAATCAGTTATTACTATTTGGACACGAGGACACTGTCTCATAACTCTTACACAAACCAAGTCAATAAATAAGTAGCCAGACGAAAAACTCACAAGATGTATACCAAAAGTTTAAAAAAAATACATTTATTAAAAAGGTGGACATTAGCATTTGTTAAAAATCAATCAAATAAAACTATTCAAACTAATAGTTAGTCATAATCAACGTAAATACTGAGAAAAATGTTTTGGCCCAAGTTGCCCTACCTTATCAGCACGACAAGATTAAATGGGTTTAGAAACAAAGAATACTTGTAGTGGGAACTCGAAGATAAACAGTTCGGCAAAGGAAGCTTCATGAAGCCTTAATTCAAGAACAAACTACAATTACACATGTTAAAGTTAATAACCATATTCCTTGAATTTCAAAAGCGTTAGTAATACTTTTATCTTTACTCTTGCCAACGATGAATTAGTTGTTTACTAATCTCTCACGCAGTTTTCTCCCGTATTTATTTATCTAAACACATAAATATTGATACGAAGGGGCACCGAATACATATGCGTCACACAAGTCACTTCGTTGGTGTGAGGGCTGTGATACTGCCAGGATGCCCAAACCAAAGCACGTGGTCTTCTTAGGGAGCCACACTCGGAGCCTTTGACCTGAAGGTCTGATCCACAAGGTAGTGGAGCGACGTCAGCAGATGCAGCCCCATGACAGCCGGTGACTAAAAATTGGTCCATACGCCATTTGTTCCTTCAGGATCCTGGAACCAGCCCATGTGCACCATTGGTTTGGAATCAGGGTTTTCCAACTCCCCTAGGTAGACTCTCCATGTCCACCAACCCGGTTAAAGCGCCGGACATTCGCTTTTCGTCCTCTCAATTTCGTAAACAACACCCTCGCCTCGAGAAGGCAGTGAGTAGGACTTCCCTAGTAGTGGTTGTATGCACGTGGCCATGTGAGAGCATTTCGAGAGGAAGTGGTGACTTTCCCCACTCACGGGCGTACCAGGAAAGTTGGAGGCTTTCCTTCCTTACTATTGCATAAATTAAATATTTCCTAAAAACAAAGAAATATTTAGTCAAACAATTTTTTTTCGACAAATTTGTCACGTTACTAGAAACCTAAAAATGTTTCAATAGAATCAGCTAACTTTAAGGAAGTATAAAAAAAATTTAAGGCATGGAAAATATACTGATGACCAAAAACTAAATGGTCATATATAGGTTACGGATAATGTTAAATGAATTTTCTTTATTCTACAATAAAGAAAAGCTACGGTAGTGATTCAAAATCAATAGAATGAAGAGAAAAATTCAAAATTAATTTTTATATCAGATTAATTATGATAATAATTCTATTATATAGGAAACAAATTTAATACGGATTGAGAATTTTCCATAAGGAGAAATTAGGTTGAAGCAATAAATAAGAAAAAAAGGTCAAGTGTTACGGTTTATATTATATGGATTAACCAATATAATTATGAGTAAAATAGTTTTAGTGAAGACAAAGGCAAACAAAAATGGTTTGAATTACGTCATGAAATATTAAAAAAAAAAGAAGTATCTTTATGAGACGATAAATCCTTTAAAAAATACAATTTATGTTACAAGTACAACAACATTAGTTAAGCCGATATATTAATCAAACATATCGATTGTAATCTACTTTGGACTTGTTATGATAGTGCTGGTATGGTTGATAAACGAATGTACAATTGAGCTGTATTGAACACCTTTTTAATTTATCTTTTCTATATATGGTGATGGAACATCATTAGTATTTTTAATCATGATATCCTTTTTTATAATTTATCTGGGTTGGAATGTATATTCTTTATGAAATTACTGATATACTTGTGTTTTTTTTTTTAAGTCTTGATATTCAACATTTCCACTTTTACAATACACAATACAAATGGGTGTATAACATTTATAACTGAAACATTCAACAATAGTTCCAAACTAGAGAAATAATTAGCCTTTTAAAGATCAAAATATCAAGTGAATTTTTAATACATAGGTAAATAGTATTGTCATTAACTCAAATGCTTTTGTATGTTCAACAAACATAGTCAATAAACACAAATGGTAAAGTAGACAAAAACAAGCAGATAGCTAATTAACCTAAACACGTCTAGACGTAAGGAACACTACAACAAATTTCGCAGCTATACACTAATTCTCAAAATTAATATGATATAATATGCGTAAAATTAATTTGAATTAATTCATGAAGGTTGTTTATTAATTTGTCACTAGACACTAGGTGAGATGAGCACATTATGCATTTTTGTCTTTACTGAAATTATATTTATTGTGAACAAGTTGTAACAGAAAATTATAAAGTTCAAAAATTTGGATTATCAAAAATGCTGCAAAATAATTTAAACATTAGATTAGGATAATTTATAGACAATGGATATGCGAGTTGGTTATCCTTTTGATGAGCATGAAGAAGGAAACTTGGTGAATGATAAGAGCAATTGGTCATTAAGTATGAAAAAATAAAGGAGGTTAGGACAATCACAGAATTAGGGATTGTACATGCCGTTTAAATCGATAAATTACTAAGACCTCTGCAAAAGTTTCTAGTTCGTAAATGAATTTGAAAGACAATTCTATTGAGACATGATCATAATTAGGCTTCTGATAGCGAAGCAAGAGAACGCCCGAAGATGTGATTATAAAAATTCTCGTATGTGGTCGACATAGTCTGAGAGTGAATTTATACAGACACACTAATGTGGACCAAAATGGGAGTTTGTTGTTAGCACAGCCGTGGATCAGAAACCGAGAGCAGAAGCCAACCTAAAGTTCAAAGTTGTGGAAAATTATATTACTGATGTCTTGTCATAGTTACTATACGATCCAGGGGACAAAGCCATAGCAGATGATTTTATCTTCAGCATATCAGGAACACTATTCTCTGTTTATGAACAGCTTACTTTAGGGCTCCAGAGGATTTTTATGATTGTCGTGTCTGTTATCCTAGGAGGGATAACTATTTTCGACAATTGTTTTCGGGAGTTTTTTCGTGTTATTCTATTTTCCAGTAGGTCACAATGTATGTTACATAAAGAAAGGATTAGAAAATGATGACTTGAGAAAGCAAAAATTGATATAAGATGGTTTAAAGTAGTCGACAGGAAACCTTGGGCTTATGTTTCGTGTTAGTCAATAATCACTAACGAGAAATACCTAAAATATTGAGGGAACTGATGTTCACTATGAGGTTTGAACCCGAATCATCCAGTTTCACAGTCTGAGATGTTACCACTGAGCTGTTCGTGACGTGATCGACATTCCACAGGACTGAGATGTTTACATCGTTTTGTTACTGAGTAATTCCCAGTGTCAACTGTTGGTCGACTTTTTATGGATCAAGGTTGGAG